ACAAACCAATTTAGATCTAAGCTATATAATATCATTTTTTAACTCTTGAATATGGTCACGCCGAGAAAGCTTATACAATGAGAGAGAGAGTGTCAAGTGGGTGGTGGAAATTTCACATTTGCATATACAAAGAGAAAAGGAAAAGGAGAAAGCAAGTGAAGAGAAATAGAGATACAAAACAAAAAAAAAAACAAAAAAAAGGACATGAAAAGGGCAGTTGGTGGGCACAGGGGTTTGAACTTTGCAGTAAAATAGTAAAAGATCGTGGCCGACATGATAAATCCGAGGAAGGGATTTAAATATAAACTCGTAAATGACAAGTGGAATCATGATTTACAATGTGACAAGCGCATCAACGGTGAGGAATTCAGTCAAAATACAACAAAATAATAGAGTTATGACAAAATAAAAACATTAAATAAGCGAAAACGTTGACAAAAATACCTTGTTATATATATATAATATATAACTTACATCAATATAAATACTGTAATATAACTATAATATTATTATTATAATGGTTAGTACGTATAAGTATAGTAGTAACTGTATTATTATTATTGTATTTATAATGTAACATAACAAAATAATAATCTTGCAATTATTAGTATTATTGTAATTTTATTTATTGCAATATTACCGCCGTAAAATATCTAATATAATTATATTTTGTATTGTCTATTACACATTAATTGATATTTGTAATTATATTATGAATATATAATAGAATACACTATTATATAATACATTATTGGTATATATGTATTATATAGTATATCATGTAATATCGTATAAAATACGATACTAATATGATAGTTATTAATATAATTATTTGTCACGCCCCGGAGCAAGGGTCGGTGACATGGAGTTTGATTAGGGGTTAAACGCGTGAAAATAAAAGAAATTCCCAACGAGCCCCACACTCAATTAAAATAAATTACAGGGTCTTTCCACAGGATTTCATTACCGTACATACATGACATGTAAATAAAATATTACAGACACCATCCACAGTCTAGTTATTCAATATATCAGAGTTTACAAATCCTTACATTTATTCAAGAGGATGAACACAATCCTCACTTGATCGAACGGTAGCAACAATCCAGCTACTCTGCACCGCTCCTAGATTCGCCTGGGAGGGGTTTACATTTATAAAACAGTAAAACGTGAGCGAAAGACCCAGTAGGATATAATTTGAAATAAACTTGTAAATAAATAAGAAAGCGGTAAATAACTAAATGAATAAGTAAATAAATGAGACATTCAGTTCCAACACAACAGCCGGAACCTCACATCATGTTTCTCAAAGGAAATATAATTGAAAATTACCGTATTACAGGCATCAGCAAGTAATTTATACAAATTACTTACACAACCACGTGCACAAGCCTTCCCGGGCCGGGTTTTGGGTTCTGCCTCCGAGGGTGCACTCTCCACATCCTATCTAGGCCATCAGCCAATTTACCGGTTCGCAAGATCTCTTACCTTAAGAAATCGTTCATTAAATTTTATGAAATTGTTATTATAATCCTACGAACTATAACAAGCCGTGGGTCCCCATGAACTACAACAAGCCATGGGTTCTGTGAACTACAACAAGCCACAGTTTTCAAAGATTTTTCTTTCACAAATAAGCCCCTTTCCTTAAAACATTTGTAAGGCCAAAACTCTTTTTGAAAATCAGGCTCACAAGGAAAAGGGGATAGAAATCCTACCTCGTAATTATCAAACCTGTGGCTAGCGGTGCACTATTCCGGCTTCTGCTTCCTCAAGCCACTCAATCTGAGTCCTCAACTAGTACTATTAAAAGACAATACTTTAGGATTCCAATCTCATTCCTAAAGTAATTCAAACTCAATCATATCCTTTGATTTCCTATTAGTGTGCCCTAATCAATTCATGTATCAAATCATCATTTCAAGGGTTTTCAATCTCAAAACATGGATTAAAGATGCTAATTTATCTACTCTAGGTCCCCAAATGAAGCTAATTTGGGTCCTCCTTGAGAACAAAGGTCAAAACAACATTTTTAGGCCAAACAGGGTCAAACACCGTGTACACCGGTCGACCGATGACAGAGTAGTGCGTCACCACCGATCGACCGGTGGTGTGCAATTTGGTCGACCGCACAGGTCGACCGGTCAAGCCAATGCAATCCGGTCAACCGCACAGGTCGACCGATGAAGAACACCAATGCGAGAAAACTCACAGAAATCAGTTCAAAAACCTGCAAATCCAGTCCCAAATTAAAATATCTCAAGGGACAACCACTAGATCCGGGTTCTAGGTCCTAAAATAAGTCCAAAGAACTCAAGATCTCCAATTTCTACCATAGTTTTACTCAAAATCCATTTCAAACCAAAAATAAGTTTTGAAATTTGAAAACTTGAGATTCAAGATAGGTTCTTTCAGTAATCTTACCTCGAATCCTTCTCTTAACGTTGAAAACTTCTTTAAATCTTTCCTTGGTTCGAATCCGGTTTGATTTGAGACAAAAACGAGGGAAAAAGAGAGTGAGTGTAAGAGAACGAGAGAGTGAGGGTGAGAGAGAGAGAGTGAACGGGAAGGAAAAGGAAAGGAAGAAAAGAAAAGAAAAGAAAAGAAAAGGAAAAAGAAAAAGAAATGGACAGGTGTTACAAAATTTAAAAATGTAGTACAGAAATGTGTTAATACACACTTTTGGGTTAAAATATAAATACTGAGAATATTTAAATACCTTAGAATTACTCAACTTTACACGTCAGAAACATTTATTAATTAATAACCAATTAATTAATTCAGATCAGACATACTAATAAATCTTAATTATCTTAATTAATCACATTTAATTCTCCGGGGTGTTACATTATTATATTATTAATTATGATATTACAATTATATCATATAAAACTATATTACATCATATCATATAATTAATTATAATAAAAATATAATATATACTAATATTATAATTCAAACTATATTACATCATATCATATTATTAATTATAATAAAAATATACTAATATTATAATTCATTTATATAATATATAGTTATTGAATGACCATTCTTTTTCTAAAACCAACCAAACATAAGAAAGAAATTTCATTCTTTTCCATTATGTTTCATTCTCTCAACCAAACACAACCTAAGTAGATTAAAAACAAAATTTTCAGTACCCAAAATATATCCTAACACATTCAAAATGAATTAAGAAAGAAAGATAAATGTGTAATTATGATGTGTTGATCAAATGAGCAGCAAGGCAGCGTCCCTATAGAACAAAAAGGGGCGTGGGCAGCAGTTTTGGGGCAGCTCCCATTTGCTTGGAACTCCTACCAAGTTTTGGGCACAAAGTTTGCTCCAGTGGGAAGCTTGCATAGCTGAAATTGAGCTACACCCGGCTTCAACATCACGCATTATAGCACTTTGCTCGTGGAAACACAACAAATTTACATTTATCGCATCAAGAAATCTTGATTTTTTTTCTTTCTATCTTTCTATCTCCTGAAAAAAAAAATAAAAAAATTAAGACAAGGCTACAACAAGAAACGGGTTCTCTCCTCATCTGTAGGGCATGCATTATAGACCTGGAGATTACATATCTAATGGTGCAAATCAGTGTCCTTAAAAAACGATTAAAGCCCATGCATAAAAGTAAAACATAAACATTCAAATTATTATGCCGTTTTGTTTCCAGTGGTTTGAATCACAATCATTTTAGCTTTTTTTTTAATGGGGAAATTTCATTTAATGATTAAGTCAATATAGACTTTAAAATAGCCGCAAATGACCAGCAAATATAAGGGTATTCGATCACAGACAAAAATTGGATCCATCAGTAATGACGAATGAGACATAAAGGCTAGTGACCCGCTCGAAATATTAATAATCAAGGGCGACAAAAGCTTGTTTAACAAAAGTACTACAGTCGTTGGACAAAATCATTCAACCAAGATGAAAATACTCAGAGCACTAGGGTACTTATAGCACCGCATAGGATCAAACCTAGCGAGATAGACCTAGCACCACCACAAATAGGGCGGGACGATTTCTTCATTACTTGATGAAAACATAAATATTAAAACGATAGAATCAACATCGCCTTTATTATATCAAAATAAAAACTAAAAACGGGAAAAAATTCCTCAATCACACAGACAAGATCATCGACAATAAGATGGCTACCAAGACCATAAAGGATAGATCAGCAATGACCGACATGCACAACTCCACCACTGATGTTGAGTGCTCATCCACGCACAACTCCCACCTCCATAACCACCATGATAATAAAATCAAGATTGTGAGGTTATAGGTAAGCCAAAAATCGGGCGTGTCCAATATGATTAGCCAAAAAGCCAGCACCTCCCATATCCCTCCCCTCTGCTCATGAAGTTGCCATCACCACCGTAATCATTGCCATGAAACCCAAAACCCCTTCTCTAGGGTCGTGGTCTGATGGCCACCCGAGGAGTAGCGCCGGACTCTAGCCCTAAAATAGAAAAGCAAACAGCGCACAAACACCTAGAGAGAGAAAGAGGGAGAGAAAGAGCGGCGCACAATTCATTTAAACCCTTTTTGCTATGATGTGTAATCCCATGGCCTAAAATACACGCCTAAAAAAAGAAAAAACAGATGATGCCTATTTCCCGTACGTGCATGGATCATTTAGTGGTGCATATGGGCTGTGTAAACAACCAAGCTAATGAAAGCTCTAGGGACTTGCTCGGCAGTCACTAACAATATCGAACAATAAGAATCTTGCGAACCAACCTGCCAAAGTGTTATGAAAAAGCTTTTCATTTTGAAACTAACGGTGAGAAAGAATCTCTACCAATTTGACCACGCAAATATTCGAAATACCACATAATTTGCAACAGCACACAAACTGAATTACAAATACATACGGTTGGCCCGTAATACACAAAATAGTTCAATTACAAATACTTATGGGCACTTGCAATCAGAATCTAGTTTCATCAATCCCTCAGCCAGCTACAAATTTAACTTAATTATTAAATCTCCTTGAAATATTTATTGAAGTACTCTTCTTCTTTACAGTGTGTATACACAACTTTGTACACTTCAATCAAGAGCATTGGGAATCGCCTTGTAAAATAGTCATTGAGTCCTTCATATTGCGGTCCAACAAGTATCTAAAATAACCGCCACCAAATTAAGTGAATATTAACCATGAAAAACTTCAATCTATGTGATGATATATGAGATTCCTATACTAATGGGACAATCACCTGAATAGTGTCTGGGAGTTGTTGATAATTCTTCAAAATTTCTCCAATCAATCGCAACAAGTCTCCAACGCTGCTAAAGTTGTAAGTACTTTTTGCATTCGTGCTAACATGTTTGATTATCTCGGCATGCACCTTTTTGTTCCATCTCAGAACCACATTTAAAAAACAACACATCGTTTCAGTTTCAAAAATTGTGTTTGCAGTAGATTCAAGCACATTGGAAATATTAGAGTTCTTGCTTAATCTGTCACTAATGTCGCTGAGGAAAGAAAGTCTCTTCTTCGCATCCCAGAACAGTGGATGGCGCAACACCTCATTTGCTTTTGGCCTGCCGAGAATAACAAGTGTTTTTTTCATTAAGAAATCAAGGATTCAAGACAGATGCTGAGTTTCATTCTACTCAAGTAAAACTTTCAAACCTACTCCAATGTTCTCAAATTACTAAAACAACAGCACAACCTAGTCAGAACATGACATAACTTAATAGATTAATAATTAGTAATTAGTTCCAAAACATACATATAATGTACAATCCATGTTGAAGGAAATTATATATTCTCACCTATTATTATAATCAGCTTCTAGTAGAGGAGAAATAAGATGAAAAGCTTCAGGAAATTTCTGTATCATAGCCATGTTCTTCACATTTTCCGTTCTAATATTCATATTACGTTCATCATGGTCTCCAAATGGATGGATACCACCAGTGATGCAATAAAAGAGGAGGCAACCTAAACTAAACATATCCATTGAACGTGTTAGGCGTTGAACTTCAGTGTTTGAGAGTTGATCAGCAAGAGTTGCAGTTGGGCGCCACCGTTCTTCTGCAAGAAGGCATTCTCTCGCTTTCCAGCCCATAGTGCCACTACCTATAGTTAATTTGGAAAAACATGCATGAAACTAGCATAAAAGGCAGTTAGAAGCAGTTAAAAATTGGTTAAGTAAAAATGTCATTAAACATCAATTCGTAGTAGCTTCTAGCTACAATATGCGCACTTGGGTTTCCAAATGGAAAACACAGATTTGTAGGGACAAGATATGATTAATCAGGTTCAAATAAGGTCCACCATGTTTAATGTGATTACTTGAAAAGTTATGTTAATGTGTCTTTGTTAGGATCTTGGTTGAGTCCCACATTGATAAAGTATGGACTTAACATGTGGGTTTATAACCACTTGGGCACCCTCTCCCTACAAGCTAGCTTTTGGGGATGAGTTCTACCCAAGGGTTATAACAATTGGTATCAGAGCATGCTCCTCTTCAGGCCCATGTTGCGGAAGGGGCGACTTAGGGGGGGGCAACCTGGAGAGGCCAGAGTGGGTCATCCAGAGTGGGCCGCCCAGAGTGGGCCGCCGTGGACGTCGATATCAGAAGCGTGGTGGTATGTTTGGACCTTGGTTGAGTCTCACATTGCTAAAGTATGGGCTTAGCATGTGGGTTTATAAACATTTGGGCACCCTCTCCCTACAAACTAGCTTTTGGGGATGAGTTCTACCCAAGCGTTCTAACAATTGGTATCAGAGCATGCTCCTCCTCAGGCCCACGTTGCGGAAGGGGCGACCTGAAAAGACCAGAGTGGGCCATCCAGAGTGGGCCGCTGTGAACGTCGGTGTCGGAAGTGTGTGTTAGGATCCTAGTTGAGTCCCACATTGCTAAATTGGACTTAGCATGTGAGTTTATAACCACTTGGGCAGCTAGCTTTTGGGGATGAGTTCTATCCAAGGATTATAATAGTCTTCACATGGTCACATGCTCAACTCAATAGTATTTGAAGTTGCATGATTAATTAGAGGCGCTGTTCTTCTTATCACATTAACTATATCATGTTCTTTAGACATATATTATGTTAATCAATGAGAGAATTAATTTGATCGACCATGGTTGCGATTGTTATGTTATATGTAGAATATTTAAAATAGTGAAATGGGAGTACTTACGTGAAATGTTAGTAAAGGAAGACTTATCATCACGAAGTTGTCTGCTGTTACCCATATCAGCAAGCTTTGCACATAAAGTTGGGTTTTCCTCAACTATTAAAATGTTTTGTGGCTTTACTATTAAAATGTTTTGTGGCTTTAAGTCTCGGTGAACTATGCCAGACTCATGCAGAACAACAAGCCCGGAAACCATGTCCCTGTGAGATCATAAGTCAAAATTATGTATAAGGTGAGATTACAATTTAGTATGATAAATCTACTCCGAAATGGAAAGGACCTTAAAGATAATTCATTCAAAGTCCAATTGAGTTTGATAACCTTAATTGTCTTTAGCTACACTTAACACAACACAAGTTCTTTAGTGATGATTAAAGGAACTTTTAACTAACCTCATCAATTTCAGTAATAAATGTGATGGACGAACATTATTTTCTTCCCACAGCTTCACACCTCCTAAAATATTCTGCAGTTCCACCAAGTACTCTTTTGATTCAGGCTTATTTTGAGAGGAATCCGTAGAATATATTTGGATGAGGTCATCCAAATTGCAATCACAACGCTCCAAAACAAGATAAATAAAGTCTTTGTCACGTTCCGCCCCATAGTATCTTATAACATTTTTGCTTTCTTTAGAAACTGCTATGAAAATCTTGATTTCTCGGTCAGCCTGATCATCATGACTTTGTAGAATGCGTTTCACAGCGACTGCTATATTATCATAAATCCCCTCGTACACAACGGTACCAGTGCCACTTTTACCGATTTCCTTTGATGAAACAAATAACTTTTGGCCTATTTGCTGCTGTTTATCATCAAGAGAAACTTTTGAGCTAGAAGTAGTGATTTCTGCCCTTCGCTGTTACATTCAAACAATGTTTTTTTTTAGTTGTTTGAAAGATAGCATTTTTTTTTTTTTTTTTTAAAAAAAACCTCAATTTACTGAACAAAAATCATTCGTACAAAGCATAATACTAGTGGTACCGAGTCTGATTTCAATTACAACATTTTAAGTTGTCATTCTTTTATTGATTGACGCAATCTATTAATATGGTAATTTTTAGACACTTATCACTAAAATAATAACAACTTATCACTTAATACATACGTTGAAATTTAAATGGGCATTATTTTTAGTTCAAGTTTGCAATTTAGAGTCTCAAAGAGACGAATTTTCCAACACTCAAAAACTGGGCAAGTACATATTTGATATGGTCATGGTCACCTCCGGGCTTCTCATTGAACTAACCACGGCCACTAACTCGGAATAACTCTTTTATATAACACCTTTTTTTTTCCTTTAAAAGAAACACATTTTATTCTTCTCTTTATTTTTGAGCGTATATTACAATAGTTTAATATTTTTACAGAATAGAAATAAAACTTTTTCGGATTGTTTTGCTCATAAAAATCTGAATTTAAAAAGTTAAATTACGTTTTCTCTTATAAAAATTTAAAAAATTTGAATTATGAATATGAACTAAACAAAACTTTAACGGTGCAAATTACAAAAAACTCTCTTTTAAAAGTACAAAAAAGCCCTTCCTCACAGAAGTGGGGAGCACGACCGGACAAGTACGGATCTGACGTGTGTGTGTGTGTTTTGTGCAATACGAAATCAACGATAATACAACAAAATCATCAATATTCTATTTTTTTTTTTTTTAAAACACAAAATCATTAATCTTAAAGCTGTTATTCATAAATGAGAAGTTGAGATATTCTTACATATATCTCGAAATGTCCTGGAGATTCGAGCCGGCTCTCAGTTTCTCCAGTAATCGGACTTCCATTCTGAGAACAAGTAAATATATGAATACCAAATACCAATTGTTAAAAGCGAAACATGGAGAAAGTGAAAAAAATAAAAAATAAAAAATAAAAAAAATGTGTGGTACCGGTGGCTGGAATGCCCGACGGTTTACTTGGAACATCGTCGAGGTTTCAGATCCATTCGCTTTTTCCATGTAACATGGAGTTTCGTACAAATTTAGCTGAAAGGGTTACACTCAGCCGTACGTGCTACTTCCAAATGAGAAGAGAGAGAGGGCGACGTCTCTGAAAGAGGAGACGGTATAGGGTTTTGTACGTGAAAGGCACATAAAAGGGCCAATCCCTTTTCTTTGTTTAGTTTTTTTTTTTTATTGAGAATAAACTTAAAAAAATAAATTATGAGTAATTTTTTATTTTTAACTATAAAATTTATATTAAAAATTGTTTATTTTATATACATTTTTAATGCTTTGATCAACTCAAATGGTCAAAAAATGATCCTACTTTTTTAGAGATCGGCCATACCAACGAATGAATGGATAGGATAAAAGGAAAGAAAGAGTGAACTGCTCTAAATTTCTTTAAAACTATTCGGTACGATGCAAAGTAAGATAATTGTCCATTCTTTTGTTTAGTAGTGATGAAAAGGAGAAAGGAATGGTTGATATTTCTACCATACCACCCACATGCTAAGTAAATAAACTTTTTTTGCTTAGTTTTAATTATTAGTTAAAATATAGATAATCATATATTCAATGTTACCCGGTTTTAGTGATTAGTTAAATTATAAATAATAATATATTTCAATATTACACGGTTTTAATTTATATTGTTAATTGAAATGCCTCATAGAATAAAATTCTTTACATTTATAAATTCTTTTATTTTTATTCACTAGGGGCAAGTTTGTTGTACTGTATAAGCACTCTGTATTGTATTGTTTAATAATAATATAATGTCTAGTGACATTTATATATTATATAATTTAATACGAGATTTAAAATTAATACAATACAAAGTATGATATCTAATACGGAAAAAAACTATGTATTAGACCGTATTATGCAATTTAACTTAAAATAACATATTAAAAGCATATAAAATATTTCACAAAACTCAAGGCTCGGGGTTGGGTTTTGGGACCGACCTTGGGTTTCAGTTTCGGGACTAGAGTAATGTTGGGTTTAAACTTTTCAAAATTATATTTGACCCCTAAACTTTTTAAAACTTAAATTCCCCCCTAAACTTTTCAAACTTATATTTTGACCCTTCAACTTTTTAAAAATTAAATTTTTGCCCCTTATTTTTTGAAAATTACAATTTGACCTTATTTTTATTTTTTTTTTGCAAAAAGACCCCTATGTAGCAAGTCTACTTTCTCCCTTGCTTACTCTAAATGTTAGGTTTGGGTCGAGATTAGAGTCGAATTAGTTATGATTTGGCCTAAACTTTATCTTATTACATACTAATACGCAAATAGATTATAATGGTAAAAATAGTATAATGTTTAATAATACCACTAACCAAAAACCCTATTGTATAAAAATTATATAATACAATACAATATTTATGGTACAATACAATACAATACAATATGGTGCACCAAACATACTCAAAATAATAAAAAGATTGCATTCCTTTTAAAAGAATCCTAGACATACATATATAGAAGAGACATCATGGCATGTACTGCTCCTTTTTTTGTCGTCCAAAACTAGCCGCTTTGGCTCTAGCTTTTTTTCTTCATATTTTTTCTTTTTCAAACACTTGAAATAAAAAGAATGAGTTTTAGTGAATAACATAGATAGATTATGAAATGTCTTATGCTACAATTTTTTCCTTTTTTATCGTACTCCTAATCCTAGATCCTACATCCTCATAATCTAAATGTTGAATATATAAACAAGTGGATGAAAATTATAACATTCACTTTTTTGTAGTCCTTACCGTTAATTTTGGTGCTTTTTTTTGCTCTTTCATTTCTTTGTTTTTCGTACGTGTTAAATCCTAAATTCTAATTCTGCCCTAATTCTAAATTTTAAATATATAAAGAGTTAATATGAGGCTATTTTCCATCTCAAGATAGGCAAAACAATGAGTTTTAGGTGCTTTATTTCTTGAGTTAATGAGACATGTGATTTAATTATGTTTGCGGATTAAAAATATGGCTGCAATTTGTGAATATTCTACATATGGCTTAATGCATAAGTGTGATGACAATATAACCATGATAATGATATTGTTGATTTGAATTTATTGTATAAGTCAATTTTAAGATAATATGTAAGAAAGACGATAGATATTTTACTCCACAATAAGTGGGATCATTAACCTTCTTTCAATGAATCAAATCCCTCAAATTATGTCATTTCTTGTTCAATATCAAATACATAATTATCGAAATGGCACGATTTAAAATTTTTCCTTCTTAGAGTTATTAATATACTCGCAACATAATTTTTTATATATACTAGCGACATAATTAAAATACTAGCAAGATTATAATTAAATCTATATATAAGAGCCATCATGGCTTCTACGGCTTTTTTTTAGTCGTCCAAAACGAGCCGCTTTGGCTCTTTGCTGTTTTTTCTTTTTCTTTTTTTTTTTCAAACACTTGCAATAAAAAACTTGTTTTAGTGAATAACATAAATAAAATCCTACATTATTGTAATCTAAATGTTAAATATAGAAACAAGTGGCTGAAAATTATACAACTTCAATAAATGGACGTAGACCTTTAAAAATAAATATCTTTGATACAACTTCATATCCTTAATAACCATTGGTTAAAATAACCCTAAACGTCAAGCAACACAACAGCACTACTTCAATAGTCATATATTTAAACACATATAGATATTTTTAAATTTTTGATAGATTTTTTTAATCTAAGTTTCATCCCCGTTTATTTTTTTCTTTTTTTTTCATTGTCTTACTTTTGTTCCATGTGCCCTTAATTATTTTCCAGTTAAAATATATTTTATTAATATACCTTTACTCAAGTGGTTTTCTTACAATCCTGTATATATTTTTAGTTACATGTGTTTAACTAAATTTTTTGTTTTTTAACATGCGTTTAACTAATTTTTTGTGTTTTGCTCCACTGCAATATTTTTTCTCGAATAGACTCTTAAGCAAATATTTTTCTCCTTATCAAATGTATACTAAAATTAGTTTGCTATTTGATTTATTTTTAAATATATTTGAAAGAACCACTACAGAAATAATTATGCTTAAATAAGCACTTACGTAAATATCCTTTTCTTTTATTCCATAGGTACACCCTAATTAGTACTCTATTTGATTTATTCTACTCAAAATATTTCTTTTGGCATGTTCGATTATATTTATAAGTATAAAACGTTTTACAAAACCGTACCTTGTGATGGAAACACGCCAGATACATCTATTTTTAAATGCACTTTATTAAAAATTATGCATCTATTTAATTGTTTTTTTAATCTCTTTTACTAATGTGAATTCGAAAATCAAAATAAATTTCTCTAATGGACTATTCAAGTAGCTCACACAGGCAGTGTGTGTCCAGAATACATCCCTAAAACTAGTATGTTTAAAAAGTTTGGATAACCATTACAATATAATTTATTCAGAAAGACTTTTACTTACAAAATTAAATTAGAGATTCAAATATCGTGCATTTAAAAGTCCAAGGGACCGTAGTATTATCCAATCTAATATACGTAAAAAGAACCAAAGTTCTTTGTGACAGCACCTCCTCGTCTCTCTGTTTTTTTTTTTTTTTTTCCATTTTTAATCTTGATTTGGCGTTCTTTTTTCTTAAAAAATAACATTTACTCCTTTTTTTCCTTTTTAATTCTTTTTTTTAACCTATTTGCCTTTTGATTTCTTCTTAACTGGACTCCACTTCTAAGCACTTTAACGATCTTATATTATGCTTTTTGAAGTACTATTTTATATTCATTTATTTATATTAAACAATTTCTTTTAAATGTTCTTATTTAATATTTTATTATTTTTTTCCCAAATGCTCCTTTACGGCTTAATTCCTTTTTGTGTCTATTATTTAATATTAACATATATAAAAAGAGATAAATCCCCTTTTAGTCTTGCCTCATCTAATCTAATCTAACATATATCTAATCTATTCTAACAATACAGAAAAGTGTCGAATGCCTCATTCACTTTACGAATTCGAATTGTGTGGATTAAAACCTTTAGGCTCAAACTTATATGTGAGTTTTCTGTAATTTAAACTGGCATTTGCTTGTGTAACGTCTAAATACAAAATAAAGTTTGAACCACTATTTGGTTACAATATTACAACTTTTAATTTTTAAAAAATGTGAGTGGAAATAGTTGTTGGGATCACTTTTGCATTGAGTTTTTAATAATAAAATGGGTTAGAACCTTAAGAACTTAAAGAGATAAAGTTAAGTTCAACTTAGTTCAACTTTTAATTTTGAGTTTAAATGGAGCCTAGATCCTCCTAAACCCTCCAACCAAATAGGGAAAAATGCTCTTGCTACATTACTACTTCCTAAGATTCCCATGTGGCAACCTCTTCCTCCATTTTTTTTTCTTTTTTTTTCCCTCACTGTTCATCTTCATTTTCTAATCTTTTACTTTTTTATTTTTTTTATTTTGTGAATATTTTTACAATTTTATTCTTTTCGTATATTTTTTAAAAATATATTTTTTCACTTTACTCTTATAAAATTAATTTCTTTTAGTTTAATTTATTACATGTTTTTTAAAATATATATTTTTTACTTTATTTTTATGAAAGTAATTTCTTTTGCATATGTTTCTATTTAATTATTTTTCAACTGTTGAAATAATTTCTTCAAATATATCCCTTCTTAATTATTTTCTGTGTAATCATATCAAAATTTATCTTTATCTCATCTATATCTATCTATATTTTTTTATTTTAAGAATACTTGTACTTGCAACTACAATTTCATATACTTTTACATGTGTTTTGCTCTTTTCTAATTTATTTTTTTAATTTTTTTATTTTGCCAATGACTCTTTTATACTTTAATCTTTAACAAAAATCTATACGTCAAATCTAACATCTAACTTCTATAAAAAGCAATCAAGTGGACTTAGCTCCTAAAAAGGCCACGTGTCTTTTAAAAACTTCATTCTTTTTTTTTTTAATCTTTCTGCTTTTTCTCTTTTAATTTTTTTAATTTTTCTTATTTCTTGTTACCTATTGTCTTTTTTATTTTTTTCCCTCATATTCTTTGACAGTTTATTTTTTTACCATATCGTATT